AAAGCGCTTTGGATAAAAGCGCTATATGAGTGCAGACCTTCAAGTGACAATTTAAAATACAAACTACTGAAAGAGGAAAATACTTGTTCTGCCTTGAAAACATCTCCTGTTGTTCGGACAAACGTACATTTATCCTTTAATAACGACTGAAAACTGCAGAAATAACACTTATTAAACCATTAAACTGATTTACTGGTTACTATGTGGGTGTAACATCATTTTATTCTTGTGAAAGGTCAGTTAATGTTGTGAATAGACGGCTGTAGTTATTAACTATAATGTCTTTATTGTCTTCATAAATCTCTACAACATTCTTTATTGAGAGCGATTTATTGTTCTTACGTTCTCAAACCAGTCTGCCTCAAGTTGCCCCTGCTGTGGCACAAATAAAGGATTTTGAATTTAAGTGAATGTATTCATGGTGTCTGGAAAAAAAATGATCTGTGGGAGGAATCTAAATCTTGTTCCTCAAAGAACAGCACTTTCCACAAGCCAATCAAGAGCTCTGATGAATGTGTAAGTGAACATAAACCACGGATGACGGTACAAAAGTAAAAAGGTTACATGGATTCGTCCTCGCTTGGTCTGCTGTAATGTTCCGATACGAGGAGCGCCCCCACACTGGAATCATAGCCGCCTTTATTTATTAGCGACGCTTTGAGCAACTACAAGTCAAAAAACAGCCAGAAGGAGGACCTAAAGCTGGCAGCTTAATGATTCGTGACACCATAATCATCTAACTGCTTCATTATTTGCTGTAATGTACCTGCAGATGTCCCAAGGTGGCAGTATATCAGCAATGTGCAGAGCCTTCCTCACGTCGCCTCTGTTCAGCCAGTTCATCTGAGCCGTGCTGTTGATGCAGGGAGGGACTTCTTCCAGAGACACCGAGGGAGACGCTCCATCTGAAAACTTCATTCAAGATGTGGATTGTTGAGAAAAATGTGAAGAATCTGAAGGACAGGCGCTTCGGGTCGAGCAGCACTTGTTCACAATCACCTTGAGGTCGAGTCTCCTGGAGTGCTTAAACAGATGACTCATGGTCCTCTCGTAGCTTCTTCCGCTGCCTTCGCAGTCCAAGTAAAGGGCGTACTCATTGAGTCCGCTGTTGTACACGATGCTAAAGGCCTTGTTTACCTGGAAGCAGACAAGGAAGTAACATTTGAGGAAGTCATCTGGGTAGCACCCTGCTAAACACCGTAACATGGTGCGCACATACATACCATTATCCTGCAGGTCTCTGAACTGGAGTTGTAAAAGTTACAGATCCCGTCGTTACAGCAGTTGATGTTCAGGTCGCGCCACAAGCTGCACATAAAACACAGCAAGAATCTCTGCATCAGCTGTGTGCAGCTTATATGACCAGAACTTCTGTCTCATCTCTAGATGGTGCAAAACATTAAGCTGCTGACACCGATTGTAAAAGGGAAAAAAATAGCTTTGGGCATTTTTTTTTAAATTTGACATTTAAAAAGGAAAGCAGTGTGTCCCAATTCAATACTGCAAACTAAATGTACATAATCTACAACCTACATTCTTCTGTGGCCCTGAGCTTTTTCTCTCTATGTGGAACGATCAACAGTTGTGTTTTTTATGTTTGCATGCTTTAAGTTTTGAGTTTAACATCATCTTATGTCAACACAATCACATCCCATTCAGAATTAGGGCAATATCAAACCAAAAAGCTGCAAAGAATTGCTACTGCAGGTGTAGCGGCTATTATTTCAAACAGCACTAGACACTGAACCACAGGAGTGCGAGGTTTCTCACACTGAAGACCAAGATGAAGTAATCCGTATTAGTCCATTTATTTCCATCAAAAACTGAACATTACACGTCCATGTTGTCCTCAGGTAGAAAATCTCTGTGACCTGTAGCTCATTCAAGCAAAATAACAACGTCACAGTCGCCCTTATAAGAGGAGGATCTTATCTTTACCCAATGAAATAATGTTTTTAAATTGCTTTATCAACTATTATTGGTGTTCTAGGTATTTATAAGGACATTATTGAGCAGGTAGGATGGTTTGACTTTACATAGAAAATTTTCCAGTGACCTGTATTTCTTCCATGTTAAAACAACAAACATCGATCACAAAAACAACCTGCTCAGGACTCTGAAGAGAACATTCAAACGCTACTAACTGACTAATGAAACCACATGACCGTAGGCCTTGTACTGTATATCTAGTCTTTCACTTTCTATACAGAAATAACTCACAGTAAGACCCAACCTGTGATCAGTTCTGCCCTCTGAACTCTCATGTTTCTCCTCCTGCTTCACTGCTATGATCAGACGACCATCTTTGGTGCAGCATGTGCAGCCATAGTCGCCATAGTTACAAATGTTGTGTGTAAAATACCACACTGCCCCTACGCACTACTGCTCTTTGTACACATTCCCTCTCAGGAAAGCAAAACCAGCTTAACAAAGTTCCACTTACTCTTCTCCAAAGAGGCCGTGATAGTAACCAAAGTGGATCAAAGACTGGTCGTTGAGAGCGAAGCTGCTGAGACCATTTCCCACCGCAAAGCCCTAAAAAGAGATGGAAGTCCAAAAAACAACTGTTAGGTTGTTTTAAGCCACGTCAGGAAGCCCGCATGACTGAAAACAAGAATGACATCATGACACTGTGTTCTGGAAGTGAGGCTGAAGACATGTTCGCATGAAGCACCTCACCTTGAAGTTGATTTTGGCGCTTCCTGTGGCCACTCGCAGGCTGAGCGTCGGCGCATAAATCCCACCGTAACTCTCCCCAAAGATGAAGAACTCATTCTTAGTGAAGTTTGGGAACTTGGCAAAGAAGCTCTGCAGGGCTTTGTAATTATCATCAGCGACCTAGGAGAAGACGATTCGACGTGGTTTCATACTCAGTACGGACTCCAGCTGCTTCTCAGGTTTTTACTGCAACATGCATCAGTCTGTGTTTAACAGACGGAGCTCACCTGGTCATCGTCCGTCGCGTACTTCTGGTCATCGGAGTAGGAGTATCCCACTCCGGCGGGGGATTCAACATACAGCATGTTGGCGATCTTGTTCCAGCTGAACGCGTTCTCGTACAGCGTGGCCCCGTCATCGTTCACCTGAAAGATAAAGTCAACGCCGCTGTTCTCAGAGTCACTTTAATTCAGAGCACAGGTATGCACACGGCGAGCCGGCTCACATGAAACGGTCCGTTCTCTGACAGGAAGCCATCCAGGGAGCTGCAGCCTGGGCCTCCATTCAGCCACAGCACCAGAGGATCGTTGACCGGGTCCCTCTGAGAAGTCACGAACCTGCAGGAGATCAAGATTCATGTCTCACACTCTATCATATGCTGAAAGGGAAATGGAGAAAACTATGGTAGCTTCATTCAGAACCGACCACGGCACTCTGAGCACAACCAGGAGTATCAACAGTATTTTATCAAACAAGCAGACAAAACTGAGACCACAGAGATTTAACTGGTTGGGTTTAGATAACCGATGACCTGCCAGAGTGTAATCCGAGCTATGGGGGCAGTTTTGTTGTGTCTGCAGTTGTTTATTTCTAATTCCTAGGAGATAAGGGGTCAAAGGTTAGCAAACTTGTTCAACTGGTTTGTCAGTGTGGTTAATAATTTAATAGAATTGATATTATTAAAGATAATATATCACCTTTTAACATTTTTTTCTTAGATTGTGACCATATCAGCTGCTACAAAGACTACGCCAAACAAAATTTCCTTCTATTGTTTTTTGTACAATGACAATGAAGTTTCTTCTTACTGCAAACACGAGGCGACACTGTGAATGCAAAACTATAGATTCTGAATCCACATCAGGATCTGTTTGTGCCAAGTAGGTTTGCACATATGTGGCAAGTAGAAAACGTAAAGAAGGATGAAAGACAGTCAGTCAAACAAGTAGCAAGAATCACAGTTATAACAGAGTGATAAAGTGATTTAAACATTTATGATGTCATTTAAGTGAGACGGCTGAACAGATTGTGCAGGAATGTCAGTTATACAATGACATGGTTTTATTATAACATCATAAAGCTGTTTTAGTGTCACTGAGCCTTCATCACATGATTCCTTCTCAGGTCTGACTGACTGTTGTGGATAAATAGACCTGAAGGAATGTTCTGGTGATGAAGTCCCAGAAGAATGCAGTTGATCCATTGATTGAATTTGATAAAAACTGCTGTATCTTTTACAAAGCTATGCTCAGCCATTCTTAAATCCTGACATGTTGTAATGCTGAAAGATAAAAGCTTAAGTCATCTGTGTATGTGTTCTGTCAAACCAGAACCGACAGCATGTGAGCCCTGAACCACATGTCCTCTCTTTGGACAGACACAACTATTTCCCCACAGCCCGTTCCTTACCAGTAGTGCAGGAACTTCCCCGGTCCTGCCTGCAGGTATCCGGACCACTGCCGGTAGTTGGGTTTAAACTTCATGCCGGGCAGGTGGGTGACCTCATCAGGAGCGTACTGAGCCCGGCAGCCCAGCGGAGAGGCGGCCAGCGCGCACAGCAGCAGCAGCAGAGCGGCGGAGAGCATCGCTGAGCCTCGCTAACGTCCGAAAATTTAAGTGAAAAGCAACTTCTTGTCAGGTTCAGACGAAGACGAGCCTTCCCGGTGGCGCCAACTTCCTCCAGCGTCCTCGACCGTCGCTGCTGGAAGTCATATGACTGGTTACACGAGTCACGTGACCAGCGCCTGACTCAAGGCGGAAGTACTGAATAATAAAGTTTAGAGAAAGCTGAGCTGAGTGTCATCACGCCTTCAAACCTTTAGAATCTACGTTTTAATCACCATAAAAAAGCACAGTAGAAATACAACAACACTACGTAATCAAAAGGGAATATTTAAAGCCAAAATTAGAAGGTAGGTCAATTGTTGTGATGTTAAAATTTAAATTTACTAAAAAGTTTCTGTAAGGCCAGCTGACACACTGGAATCTAAATAATAATAATCAATGTCATCTGCAATATTAGTTTATAAAAAGTTTGTGCAATGTCAGATTCCGTAACATAGAATTCACTGCAAAATAATATTTAAATTCCATGTGCAGTTTATTATTTAAAATGTAAATTTAATTTGCAAACTTCCTTTTTGTGTGCAGCAATAATTCAATTTCATGTGAAATATTCTAATTGCATTTGCAATATTTTCATTTAATGCACAATACTTCAGGTTCAGCTATGTGCAGCTTATGCCCGGGCTTGATGACACACTACTTTTGTCATATTTATGATGCAAAACATTGAACTGCTGATTTTTTACACCATTGCAGCAGTAAAACAACAACAAAAGCTTTGGATATTTTAATTTGGCATTTAGAGAGGAAAACAGTAGCCTCAAGTCCATACTACAAAGTAAATATACACAATAAGCGTATTGTCTTAGTGTACTATATGGCTGATGATATCCTCCATTCTTTTCTGTCGCTGTGAGTTTTTCTCTTTGTGTGTTGCACTGTGACACAACTCTGACCCTACCCCTATCTTTGGGCTTTTAATATAACCTAATGTCACTTCCACTTGCCCTTGTTTTGGTCGATTTATTTGTTGCTGTGAAAAATATCGTGTTATTAAAAATTATGTGACTAACTTTGTTCTGAGGCCTCCATACCTCAGTGCACTACAGATTTAAACAGAGGTTGAAGAAACTGAATGAATTCGTTTTTATTTGTGTGCTGACATCTTTTATTTTCTTTCTCAGCTGCATTGTAAACCAGATGTTTGTACTTCACTGTACTCTGAGTTTAGATGAAGGTGGATGAATCAATATCAATATGATTCTTCTTCTGCTTCTATCTTCTATCCAGGATGTTGTATAATACATTCCTCGTTACAAAACTGCTGAGCCCCTAAAATGCGGAACATGAACTGATGTATAAAGACTGTTTAGAACTTTTATGAACAAATTCCAGAGGAAAAACTAAAAACCCCACCCCTGTGACAAATCATATGCACAGTATTTATTATTTAACCACCATATGGGTAAAATACCTCCGTCTCCCTTCCTCATCAGTGTAATGTTCAGGAAACAACAGAATAGTAATGACAGTTGTTTGCATGATACTGGTCTGATTTGTGGCTCCTATGTAGAATATGTAGCAAATACACAATGAGGTTGATTTCTCTTAGAGCATTGGTGTCAAACATATGTCAAAACCAGCTCATTCTGGCCCACGGGATGACTTTGCAATGTGTAAAAATTAAATGTAAAATGCTGCTTCAGACACTTTTGCACCCTGAAGAATATAGTTCTGTGAAAAGGAATATTTACTGTGGAAATATTTAAAGACATTGAATATCGTGCAATATTCTGTCAGTCAGCAGCTTTAGTATAGAAGAGTTTGATTTAGTGGAACGCTATTGTTCATGCACCGCCACAACTTTTATGTATTTTTTATGCATACATTTC